TTTCAATTTCCTTCATTTTCTTAAATTTGGAATTTGGTGTAAGTTATGGTTCAAATGTAGTTCTGTAAAACAGAATGAGCTGGCTCGTTAAGGCTCGAGTTCGGTTCGACTAGGCTCGTTTGAATCGAATGTGACCCGATTATTTATTTATTTATTTATTTATTTATTATTATTTTTATTTGTGTGTGTGTTTGTGTGTTTTAAGGTGTGGCTGTGGGAGCAGGTCTTCAGACAAAAGTGGCGGTTATTAATTTAGTTTGCTTTTATGGAGTTGGGCTGCCGATTGGGATTGTGCTTGGATATGTTGCACATCTTCAAGTTGTGGTAAATTATTTCATTAGCAATAATTACTTTAGTCTTTGAAAGAAAAAACATCATAAAGTAGTGAAAATGCTACAATCCCGTCCCGGTATGATTCCGTGAGGGTTTCTAGGCATTAGATAAACATGTAACTTCCATGTATCTACTGTATATCTAATGGTTAAAAACTCTCGCGGAATCATTTCGTAACAGGATTGTAACCTTTTCCGGTAGTTACATTTTGCAAGTTAAGTAACAGGCAGAACTGCAAAACAAATTACAAGCAATTTACTTTTCTTTCTTTTTTTTTTTTTTCAAATTGAGCCATGAAATTAAGTAAGTGGAAAATTGTGTCTTAAAGATGTAAAGATTAAGAATATGTGTTTAAATTGCAATTTAAATAAAAATTGTGATTTATCATTTATGAGCAGAATTTTTTTTAAAAAAAAAAAAAAAAAAAAAAAAAAAAAAAAAAAAGATGGAGTAATTCATAATTAGTGGATATTTGGGTTGACAGGGAATATGGATTGGGCTGACCTTTGGCATAGTGACACAGACTCTCTTACTGTTCTTTCTAATTTGGAGAACAAATTGGGATGAAGAGGTAAAATTAACCATCAAAAAGTTAAAATTTAAAATATTTTGTGAAATGTCATATTTTTGTATTATTTCAATTATGTATATAAATATGCATATTTATAACAAAATATAATTATCTAACAGTTAGACTTGTTTAACAGCATTATCGGTTTTCATTGTATTAATAGTGAATCTGCTTTAATTGTCTTGAGTGTTCTTGTTATTAATATCTTCTTCTTGCACATATATATATATAACTGAACTTAATGATAATTTTTAGCATATTTGTTAAAGGATGCTTTATATGTTTACAGGTCTTGAAAACTTTTGCACGTCTGAAAAGATGGGACTTGAAATCTTCAGAACAGACTATTTCTAAGCACTAATCATGCTTGAAAACGGGACGAAAATTTGGCGTTGGTCAGTCGAGGATCAGAACCTATGACTGGATACGATTAGTCGACTTGTTCGAAAATTTATCGTATCCAGAATCAATCTTGATAACTAATATCAAATTCTTTTCATATGTATTAATGTTGTAATATTCTCAAGTCAAAGAGAGTTAAGTGATTGTTTCTAGTAAGGAATGCATCTATCATGTAATTGAAAATTTATACTACCTCCTATTCTTTTTAAATGTCGTTTTGACTTTTGTGATTCATCCATTTTATTATGTATCTAGACATTAATATGTCTAGATACATAACAAAATGGATGAATCAAAAAAGTCAAAACCACATTTATAATGAATAGGAGGGAGTAAATAATTTTCTTTTGAATGAAATAAATAGAAATTAAAAGGCAAACATTTGAGTTGTTATTTACTTCCCATTTTAGCTTGTAATTTTCACAAAGTTTATAGCTAACCAAGTTTTTTTTTTTTTGTTAATTGGAACTGGAATTGCCACGTAGGATTGTAAAATCCACAACATTTGAAATCCACCGGAAAATGGGTCGTGTCCACTGCAATCCGGTCAATTTATGATTCGATAGATCGTGTCCATTGCAATCCGGTCAATCTATGATTTAAGCATAAATCAAGAACATGTTAGCCTTTGTTTAGTAAAATTAGCTAATAGCCCAATTGATAGCTTATAAACGAATTTGGAGCGAATAATTGATAATTTATGACTTATGGCCTATGACTTAAATATCAGTTGATAAGGTAAAAGTGTTAAAAAATTTCAACAAACTTATTTAAAAAACTACTTAAAGAAGTTTATGATAAGTACAATTTTTTTAAATAAATTGGTTTTACCAAACTTATTTGTATACAAAAAACTTATAAGTTATGTTTGGTAGACAAATAAGTTAGATTTATTTGATTAGCTTATAAGCTCTCTGTATTCAAATAAGCTCCGTTTGGTAGGGCGGACTTATTTAAAAAAGCTCGAGCTTATTTGATAAGGCTTCTTTGGGTAACTTTTCAAATAAACTCATTGAAATTTGTATTTCAGCTAGCTTATCAGATAATTTTACCAAACATTTTTACCATATGCGCTAGCTTTTCAGCTATAAGTCATATATTATAAGCTCGAAAATCACTGATGAGCTATAAGCTAGCTTATCAGCTATCCGCTAGTTTTATCAAACATATTGCAAACATGCCCTTAGTTACCTTTTATGTACAAAATCCAAAACATAAAGATAGGACTTTCCTCAAGATCGTAAAAATACCAGTGTTTTAAAAGTCGCTAGGCGCTCGACCAGCGCCTAAAACGCTTAGGCGGGGCCTAGTCGGCGTTTAGGCGGGGCCTAGAAATCAAGATTAAATACTTTATTTTTATTCATTTTCACTGTCTACAAAACAAAACTATCTCAACTTATAATGAATCTACACACCTAAGTCCAAATAATAATTATTAGTATTATAAAGAAAACGTGGTAACAAAATAATGTAATTATTTTTTAAAAAATTAATAAATAAATTGAAAAATTTCCGCAGAGTGCCTATTATAATACATCAACATATCTAAGTCCTAATCATAATATTAGTATATTATAAAGAAAGCACGACAACAAAATAATGTAATTAGTAGTTAAAAAATTTAAAACATAGATTGAAAATTTTCCACCTAGCCGCCTGACCAATCTTTTCATCTGATTTATGTATATTGGAGGCGGACGGGCACCGCCTAGCCTAGGCCGACTTTTAGAATAGAGTTTAAATTACAAAATGAAATTTACTATTTTCTCGAACTATAAAGTAATTTAAAATCTTCACTTTTATCTTCACTTTTCCTCTTCATTCACAATAATATTATCTATTATTACCTTGTGCGCTGGGAGATCGTCCCTGTCTCCAAGCTCCGAAGATGGCCCGGGCCATGGTGAGCCACTGGCCCATAATCACCTCAAGCACACATCCATTCTCATCTACTCCTTCACCATCGCCCCGTTATTACAGCACGCCCTTATCTTCCCACTTCCGGTGCAAAATTTCCCAAAAAAACTCGGTCGCTTCTTGTTCCGGCAACGCCGCCGCCGTCGCTGATAGGGTTCTGGTGGACATTAAAATTTCAGGCATAATCGCCTGCCTCCGCGCCAAAAGGTGAAAAACGTCCCATCTTTATGTGTGTTATCAGTAGTTGTTCAGTATTGGGAGATTGATCCTTAAAGTTGCGACCTTTTTCATTTCCTTTTTCCCCTTTTTTTCTTTTATTTATGGTTTTCGATTTATCCGAAGCTGTCTGTGAGTGTTTTTGGCTATCTAGATTTGTTCTGTTTAGTGCAGAGGATGCTGTTGAAGCTGCCCGGGCAGCACTCAGAGGTGGGATTTCAGTTGTAAGTTTTCAAGCCCTTAAAAATGTCTTCTGTTAAATTTTTGGATTTGTTAAAAGCTTGTTGTTTTAGGGAGATGCTACGGTCTAATTACGGAACCATTCCGTCGGGGTTTGTAACCGTTATAACTGTCGAGGCGAGGATATTTGATCTAATGATGGTTCCGTATCGGGACGTAGCATTTCCCTATTGAATTCCTTAATTTATCCTACACAATTGAATTGCTGGAAATTTTTCATTTTTTTGTTTCGCTTCGTACAGAATTTCGACACTTGACCTACATAGATAGCAACTTTCTTGATATGTCCTGTAAATTTTGCAGTTGGAGATTACAATGTCCACTCCAGGTGTTTTTGAGGTAAATGGTAGTAAATTAGTAATATAGGTTAATAACCTCTTTTGCTTTGGTTTTAGGTTCTTGAATTTTATCGGTTCTTTTTACTTTTCTTTGGTTTGTTTGATGAAGGCTTTGCAAGTTTTGGTCCGAGAATATCCTTCAGTCTCGATCGGTGTAAGTACTTTTTTCAAGCCGTTTATGGATCAAATGTTTCTGTATACTTAGCTTTTCGACATGGAAAAACTGAAGTTGGTAGTTCATATTTGTCGAAAAAAAAAAAGAAGTGACACATTTTAATAAAGCTCCTTTGTATTAAGCAGGTTGGGACTGTGTTAGACAGAGCAGATGCTAAAAATGCATTAAAAATAGGAGCCAAGTTTCTTATGAGCCCTGCAATGGTTAAGGTATCAAATTTTCAATAGATTCTAGTTTGTATTATTTTCTAACTTAATGACTTCCTATCAAAGATCTTATGCCTCTATTTGTGAAAATCCAGAAGACCAATTACTAATAACAATTGATTTTATCAGGGCATTTTAGATGATGTTTCGGAGGGCCAAGCTTTGTATATACCCGGAGCAACTACTCCTACAGAGGTAGAGTCTAGTTTTACCTTTTTTTTTTTTCGGTCTATTCGCATCATCTTCTCGAGACTATCATTTTTTTCTTGTACTTGCTGTGTAATTGAAGTTGATCTTATTTGTGGCTTCAAAAGACATGTTTTTGATCTCAGATTATGGTTTTGTAAAATGAAAAGCTAACCAAATTAAGCTTGTGCCTTGCAGATATTATATGCATTCAATGATGGTGCCAAAATTGTAAAGGTGTAAGGCCAACTAGCCTTCATTTTTTCGTTTTTTTTCCTTTTTCATTATTTATCTTCGTTTTCACATATTTTTTATTTTCCTCGTTTTCATGTCTTGGAGATTCAGATGACTCGTTTTCTAAAATTGGTAACAGGTTTATCCAGTTTCTGCACTAGGTGGAGTCGATTATGTTGCGGCATTAAAGAAGCCATTTCCTCATATTCCTCTGGTTGCATCGCAAGGCATATCATTAGGTCATTTTGGCACCATTTTCTTAAATATATGAGTTTGTTACCTTTCGAAAATTTTCCAACGGAAGGGCGTATTAGTCCAATGTTAATCTTGATTTTTTTTCCATTGCTATTCAGAAGTTATGTGGTATATATATGTATATATTATCTTCAATACAGATTCAGTCGAACAATATATTGCTCGGGGAGCATCAGCAGTCGTTTTATCAGACGCGATATTTGAGAAAAAGGCAATGGAGGAACAAAATTTTTTTCTAATACAAGAACTTGCAAGTGTTGCAGCTTTTAAGAGCACTGAAGCTTTAATAAGGTCAGAGGACCTTTTTGTTTCATGCCACTAAATTGCTTCCACATTTTTTCAAGAAAATTCGTCAGAAGTTATTCTATGCACTCTCAAGATTGTTCGTTCTTCATATTGCAAAATGATTCTATGCACTCTCAAGATTGTTCGTTCTTCATATTGAAAACATTTTGCGTACATATTTACGTAAATTATTTCGTATCAGAAGCTAAAAATTTAAATTTACTTGAAGTAGGCAGTTAATTACGTATCACCATGTATCGACTGATTCATTACACTTAGTTTTTGGTTGAAGTAACAAACCATCATCATATACCCATTTAACCGATCTTTTGGAAAATTGTTTGCTCGTGCAGGAAAGCTAGGGACCGATAAATGTTTGTGAAATACGGGAAATTTTACACGAGACTTTCAACAGAGAGAGAGAGAGAGAGAGAAGAACCAAGCTAGTTTCATCTCAGTAGTCTAGATTTGCTCAGCATAGTTCTGTAATTGTAGAAACACATTGTGCTTGTTTGCTTTCCGGAATTAGCCAGGATATCCTGCCTATTGCTGGCCTAATCCTATGTTTCATTTGGTTGATTGAGGCCCGCTTGAATTAATGAATTATACTAAACTTTTGAGTTTTCCTTTTTTTGTTCTTTTATTTTTTTGTTTT